TCGTCATCTGCTCCAACTACTCATCAGCCTTAAGTGGCTCTTTCGGATCCCCCAAAAACTCATCCGGATTAGACCGGAAAAACTCCCTCTTCAGAAAGGAAGGCCCTACATTAACAACCTGGGCCTGAACTTGATTATCAGCTCTGAGAATGCCCATGGGTTCTCTGAAAGCTCCTGCTATCTCGCAAGCTAAGATACCCATGGCCTACTGACCTACTGGCTCGGCCACATTGGCCTGGCCAACACCCTCCTGTTGTACTGGAATCTCATCCGGTCTAGGCATCTCCTGCCTACCACGCCTACCACGCTTACCTCTGTGTCCTCGTCCTAACATCCTAATAAAGGTAACGAAGATCATTAGCACATTCACAAATGTGCCGAAGCTATAACACTCGCGTCCTAATGCAATGGACAACAGTAATTCACTCCACGTAAGCACATAATCACATAAGCACTTACGAATTTCATTTCCAGATAATGACAATTCCGAAGCGTTGCTAGAGTTCCGGTTAGAAACAGCATTGATCAAGTGTTTTTCCAACAGGACTCCCAGAAACCCAAGGATACAATTAACATCCTAGAAACTACATTTCATACCCATATAGTCACATAAACATGTTGTCACATAAGCACATAACATTATACCTAAGTCTCTAACAAGCGAGACAAACCCATTATGGTACTAACCACTTCCCGCGTACCCAAAGTATTCGAACCCGGTACGCTCTGATACCAAGTTGTAATGCCCTCAAAATAATACATAAAACCCCACATTCTTGACATGCATTGATATGAGAGAAATAACCACTTTTCCATTCATCAGAGTAGCCCTTACAAATGTATTACATGTTAACAATAAAAGTAAATGCCCAACGGCTTACAACTTTCCAAGCCAACACTTGGTTACACAAAAGAGAGTACTAACTCATATTATATTAAGCCCTTGGCCTGAATTTATATGTAATACAACAAAAAATAACAAAACAACAAAAAGAGTCTTTAACTCTCAAACCCTTCCAAGCTATGTCCTTGGAGGTGGCATATCACCTGGACCTGAAAATGATATCCCATATAGGGTGAGCCACAGCCCAGCAGAGATATACTAAATCAAATATAAGCAATGATTAAAACAATAGCATTCGATAGATGGTTAGCACTTACAAATCAGTTATATCACAATACAGTTCCATGACACTTGTGTCTATGTTACGTTCTATTTTCCTTTACTTATCCGAATCATTTCATATACGTGGCTCAAAACCTGGCCAAACAATTCGGTGAGACTATAACACATATACTAACACTTCCATATTTTACAATAGATACACATATTTGCTGTATCAATACTTCAATTTAATACACATATTTGCTGTATTAATGGAGTCCATCTCCTATCTCCTCCCAAACAGGTTTGAGAGTCCATCCCCTATCTTCCCTCAAACCATGGAGTACATCCTCTATCTCCTCCCACACAATACACATATTCCAAGTATATAAACAATTATCATATACAGGGATCACTCAATACACATATTTAATACATTATTCCAACCGTCATATTCAATGACATATTCAATGTGATTAGTTTAAGTTTTCCCTAATCAACATACAGTGTCTATAACAATCAAGACTATCCTCCACCGATAGCCCAAAACAGTTATTTCTAAACTGAAAATAAATGCATTAAATACATATAATATCAACTTACTCTATAGGTGAGTGATTAATTTATTCAACTACACCAATCAATCCCATAATTTCCCAATTTCATTATTCTCAACTCAATTCCATATTTTCACATTTTCCCAAAATTAATTATACAAATTAATTTAGTTCATAATTAGGGCATTCTTCCCCCTTTATCACATCTCAACCCAAAGGCTCAAATTCAATAATACAACAACATTAATTCCATTTTTTGTTGGTCTCAAACACCCATAGGATTTAACATTTTGAAAACCCCCTTTTCTATAAATTACAAATCAAACCCTAACTTTTTCAAAAATTACCCAACAACCCCAACATATCAAAATGCCCAAAATTTATAACAAAACTCATAAGATGGAGTAGGGTATCCCTACCTCGAAATGAAGAGACCAAAGGAGAAGATGGTGAAAATCCAAAGTGCTCCAAATCCACAAATTTTCAGATTAAAACGTAGTCCAAACAACCCTCTATCTTTCTTACAAAGGGATTATGGTAGAAACACACTATAAGTAGATCAATCCCTAGAGAGAAGGTGTGTAGAGAGAGAGGGAGAGTCGGATCTAGGGTTTTGAAACCAAAAGAGATGAAAAAGTGAAGTGTTTACCCGCTGCTGTCTACTGATATAACACAGGCTCGCTCGAGCGAAGGATTGGTCGCTCGAGCGACCAGACACAAAGAACTCTTGCTAGAGCGTAGAAAGCCTCGCTCGAGCCAAGAATGCGAAGCTTCCGGTCTGCAACCCAGAAGCACGCTCGAGCGACGAAAAGCTCGCTCAAGCGAGGAAACCCAAAACATAGACCTCGCTCGCTCGAGCGAAGAATTGCAACCTTCAAGTCCAAAACCAGACGCAGACGCAAGCTCGAGCGTAGGACTTCTCGCTCGAGCTACCAGATACAAAACTCAACTCTCGCTCGAGCGAAGGAACCCTGGCTCGAGCAAAGGATCTAAAACACAGAGCTCGCTCGAGCGACAAGAGTCTCGCTCGAGCGAAGGACCAGAATTTTGGGCAACAACCATTTGCTCCCAATCACACCCAACCTGTAATAAATCTGCCCAACACATCCTATAACTCAAATATAAGGAATTAAAGGATGATAATAAAATATATACAACAACAAGCTCCACGGAACCTAAGTCTGGATACAACAACCAAATGGGGAAAGACCGAGATCACTATAGGTATTTGGGCCTTGGGCGGGTCGGTGGGCCTAGGCCTAGCCTCGAGCTTGGCCAAGCCTGACTATTTTTTTTTTTCTATCAAAGTTTTATTATTTTCCACCAAAAAAGACATTGGGCCTTGAACGGACCGATGGGACGGGCCACGGGCCTGGTTAGGCTTCAAAATAATGGCTCGGGCCATGGGCCGCGGGCCAATTTTACACTCTTACCTGCGTATAATGCTTCACTAGAGAAAATTTCTCTCTTCCCTCTCCACCCTTCTTAGTCACCACTTTCTCCTTCTTCTTAATAAACTCATTCATAACCTTCTCTAGCTTCCGCTCCTCCGCCACCTCCGCCCTCTACTCCTCCAGTTTCTTCTCCGTGTTCACGTGGGGAAGCCATTGCCTACTCATGTCCCTGCAAGCACCGAAGTTGTTGGTCTTCTTTTGGCCAGCCTTGGTGGCGGTGTCGCGGAGGAGGGAACCAAAGCCACTCTTGCTGCTGTGTAGGCAAAAGAAGAGGTGGAGAACAGACCCATTAAGGAGGAGTCTTGGAGTTGTTTTGTGCCTGTGAGGAGTCGTTGGTGGTGGATTGGGATGTGGGTGATTTCACGAATTCGAGACTTCATGGAGAGGATTGGGATTGATGGAGTTGTGAAATTTAGGGCTTCGTGTTTTACATTTAAGAGTTTGATGTAGACTTGGTATGTCTCCTCCACGATCAATCGATCGATCGATTCAAGCTCTCTTTCTCTCTCTCTTTGTGATCGAATTGAAACAGAGGAGAAGGCTATGGTGGCGAAGAGGAAGAGAGAGGAGGGAGGAGAGAGAATGAGAGAGCGGATGTGACACATGAATGTGGGTGAGGGATCTTAGACTACAAAAACATATATATATGTATATATATATATATTATGGATCTCTCCTATTACTAAAAATTGGAATCTCATAGTTCTACTAATATAGAAATTAGGGGAAAAAATGATGGAATGTTTGGTTAGAAATAATTAATTCTTTTGTAATGAGGCTAAAATATTCTCTCTTTTTCTTTTTCTTTTTTTTGTTATTTTTTAAGTCCATTTTGATTGTACAATTTTAAAAATCAAAAAAAAAAAATTCACTCAAAATGAAAATAAACCAAATTTTATTTTAAAAAACTTACAAAATTAAATTGTTTTTGCCTTTTCTAAACCTTTTTCAAAAGAATTTAAAAGAAACGATCCAAAAAGTTAAGAAATTTTTTTTAAAAAAAATAATTGAGATAATTTTTTTTTTTTTTTAAATAAAGATGAAAAGAAACTGAACTTTAAAAGTAAAAAATAAAATAAAATAAAAAAATAAATCAACTCCCAATTAACATTAGAAGGTAAAAGAAATATATATATATATATAGTCATATGTAAAAAGTGAGTGAGTTTTGAAAATCAAACCAACTTAAACAGGGATGAGCTTTCATCCATACTTTTCAGTGGCATTTTTATTGTTTAAATTGAACTTGAAATCATTTGTGACTCTTTTTTTATTATTATTTAAATTTGTTCTTGCACTTTTGTATGTTCAATCCACTTAAATATATAAAATTTAATATTTTTATATTTATTTCCTTCCGTCCATCTCTCTCCTTGATTTTTCAAACCATTAAGAAATTTTAAGTCCTCTTCATTGAGACAAGCCAAGAATCAAGAAATTTTTATCCCCTTGAACCTCACGCAATCCCCTGTTTTACATGGCAGATTTTTACAAACATTTACCTACAAGTAGGTAACACTTTGTTTTGACACGCCCTCATTTCATCAATCCTTTTGTGTTAGCCAAAATCACTTTTTTGTGCAAACATGTATCTAATAAATCAAAATTATGAATAGCATTGGCACATCCAAGAATTAGAATGCATTCATTCCAGTTTAGTAAACCAGTATGCCTGACAATTTCATGGAGTTCAGATTTGTAGATTTAGCTAAGCATATAATCTCTTAGCCCTAACATTATGTATGTATAAAAGTTGCAAATTTCTTCAGAATCACGCCAATATTTGCATGAAGAGAAGCCTACCTGATTAAGCTTTCTCGAATAAACAATGAAAATTGACCTTTTAATCCTAAGCCCGACTAACACATGGAAATTAATGCATCCTTTCAATAAAAACTGATAAATATAGACATTGCCATTTAACCAATCTTTTTTGTATCTCAAAAAACTCACATTAAAATCGCAACTTAGATTTAATGGAGCGAGAATAGGAATTTATAATTCCACCAAATGGAACCTCTATCATGAAAATTTTTAACATAATATATGGCGGAGATTCATTCAAAGCATGGACGTCGAATTTCCTATTCTATGAAGACAGACAAGCTAAACCTTCTACATCCAACAACATACTCCCAACCAAGAAGAGAGAGAGAGAGAGACTACCGAAAGACCTACAACTACTTCCACTTCCTCTTCTTAGCCGGTTGTCGATCCTCTTCAACTTCCTCTTCCTCCTTTTTCTCTTCCTCATCACCTTCATGCTCATCGCCATTGTCGTCGTCGTCCTCATCATTACTTACCCCATTACCATTACCATCTTGATCATCCTTGGGATCTCCATCATCATCATCCCCAGCACCTTCTCCGCCAGTGAAATCTTCATCACCTCCATCATCAACGTCCTGATCATCAGCATCGTCATCCTCTGTATCACTAGCATCTTTGTTTTCAGGGAACAGGATGTTTCCTTCTATGAAGCTCATCTATGAGAAACCTGCAAATTATATTATGTCTTCGTGACTGCTTCAAAGAAATTCCCTTTCAACCAGATATGCAGGAGGTAAGAGATGCCCAAAGAGAAAATAATCACCTTTCATCAACCCCCTTCAACTTTGCCAACAAATTAACATCGTTCAGCAGAGATCCTGTCTGAAACCTCCCCACATGTTGGTAAGAGAACTTAAGTATATGATATTTAACAAAGCAATGATAAGAAAACTCCATTTTCCATTCCAGTTAATAAGACCTGTAATCACACAAACATATGATGCAAAAAGAGTATAAAAAGATAGGCACAGAATGCAATAATTGGACTAAAACGCTGTATCCCAAGGCAATGTATTTGGCAACCATGAAACTCCACTATCACTTTCACATTGGAAGGCTAAAGGCACCCCCCCTTGAATTTGAATGACAGCATCACCATTTTCCCCCTTGGTATGCAGCAGCTCAAGCACACCCCGGTGCCACATGGGCACCTTGTACAATGTGATCAAGCCACTTGGTGGCCGGCAGCATCAGGCTGGCAGCACTTCCCTTATCCAATCCCATCCTGACAACACAGCTATCACTGATATCCTCAAAGGTGACTCCATATCCACTCATCTAACTCTCCAAGTAGTCCACATTGATGGGCGAATAAGGGGTTTTTTTTGTTGTTGTCATTTTATTTATTTATTTATTCTAATAAAAAAATGCTATCCAAACAAACTTTTCTTGCAAACTCTTTAAGTTTTGACATTTGAAATGGCACACATTGAAATTAAATGATAGTAGCATTACTCATTTTTTATTCCTGAACACTAAAGTGGGCTATTATTTTAGTTTGAGAAGTTATTATTTTAGTAGGCTATTTTAGTTTGTGGCTATTTTAGTAGACTAAAATTTTTGTGTTTGGAAAGATAGTTGGATTTTTTTGTTGTTGGACGTGATATTTGAGAGAAAAAAAGTGAAATGATTATGGATTTGATGTGATATTTTGTCTTATTAGTTATTTTATCCTATTTTGTCTTTTTGTGGATTTTAGCCAAAAAAAAAGGCTAAAATCCACCTTGCCAAACACCCTCTAAGGGGTTGTTTGGGATAAATTAAATAAGTGCACTTTTTGACTTTTTATGAAATATGAGTTGGGTATGGGTTGGGTTTGAAATGGTGTGGTAAAGAGGTGATGTGACTTAAATAAGAAAGTGACTTTTTGACTTTTTTAATTTATGCCAAACCAAGCCTAAATAGGGGGCACAAAAAAAATTGCAACACACATTACTATAAGAAACAAGAAATCAAACATAAAGGCCAAGTAGAGCATGCATAATACAAGCAAGCAACTTTACTCAGGCCCCGTTTGGCAATAGGTTAATATAACTAAAAAGCCACTAAAAAGCTAAAAAGTCAAAAAAGCCATACAAAAAAGTCAAAGATTATTTTCCATTTTATCTATTTTTTGCACGTTTTCTTGTAAAAAGCCAAAAAGCTATTCCCAAACACAGCTTTTTTCACCTCATATTTTAGCCAAAAAACAAAAAGCTACTAAAAAAACCACTTCCCAAATGAACCTCAATGGAATGAGGATAATGAGTACAAGAAGAAGACGAAGAAGAAATGGTTACTCTGATAAAATGAAATGAAAACACTTGACTGAAATAGAAGGCTAGCAGAACAGTAATGCGGGAACTACATACATTGAGTGCGAACATTCTGAACTGAAATTGAGCAACTCTGAGTCTGCCTCAGTGGATGAGTTTACGTGGAAGACCTCTAACTACAGATGCTACAGAGATCCAGATTTAAGCTGCATCACTACAAAAGCTGACTGAGTCTAGATGAAATCTCCATTACAAATTGGGGGAATTACTTAACAGTGTAACAGAAAAAAGAAAAAAAAAATACACAAACATGGAGGGGTGCAACAACTTTTCACTTGCACCCCACCATATAATCACTTGCACCCCCCATGTATTTGTAATTTTTTTTTCTCTGCTCCACTGTTAAGTAATTCCCCCAAATAAATTTTACTCAAGACTCTAGATTTTTAACCATAAAGCCGATTGAGTTATAAATTGATTTGTAACAACTTGTTGCATATAAACTTAAAACTAAACAAAAGCAACCAATTAAATCAATTTGCTTCATTCCACCCTCACCATAAGAATACATTGTCCACCAAGACATTAATGAAATACATGATTTGTTGCAAGTTCAAGCAATCACCAGCAATGACACAAAAACAACACTAATCTATATCCTGTAACTGGGTCATATTTACAGGACAAATGGAAGTAAGCAAGGCAGTGTGAGGATAGGCATAGCAGATATCGAGGGTCTACTTATCACACCAAAGGAAGAAAACAAAAAAGAAAAAGGAAATCAAATATTAAGGGTCTACTTGAAGTGGCTTGAGGTTAGATAAAAAACTGCAAAGAATGTTGGTGCAAACTTTCATATATAAAATCTTTGTGTGGAGTTGCAATGGAATTCTGGTTCTTTGTGAACCTTTCCTTCAATAAACGTCAATTCTTAGAGAACTAAAGTTAAAACAGGGTTGTTGAAGGAGGCTATAACCAAAATGAAAAGCAAAAGTGGCTGGTGATCATAAACTTTTGAGAAGAGATGGGGTGAAAAATTCCTAAAATCACATATTAAACTGAACCCGTGAATGCAAATCAACAAAAAGCACCTAAGCATATGCTCAAGAAAAAGCTTTCAGATGTGCATGTGGGCTGGGATCCAAGTGAGGACCACACCACAATGAAATTTTCCTTCCTGATCACTTTAGAAGGGCTGCTGGTTAAAATCAAGCACAGAAAGTTGAACTAGTCAGAGGCATTAGTTTAAAGCTTTGTTGGAATTTTCACCCAACTCTTAATCAATTCTAATCAACACTCTCCAGCTCATTCCTCTTGAGCTAATCAAGTAGGCATGGGACAAGTACTACGACCAACAAGAAGAAGAAGATCAAAGGATTTTAAAATGATTTACAAGAAAAGGACGAAAAAATAAAACAAAAGAAAATTCAACCACTCAGTTTATTCAATCCAAGTTACAAGCCTCTTTTTTTTTCTTTTTTTCTTTTTTTGATAAATCCAAGTTACAAGCCTCTGCTTCGCACTTGACTTCATTTACACTTCAACAATTCTAGCAAGACCAGTAAAGAATAAATTCTAAAGAGTTCAGCAACTAAACTGTACCTAGGATTAACATGAACAAGTTCATTCCTTGTGGCATTCTATTCAAAATGTCTTGCAGAGCTTCATGGTTGAAAGAGGCATAGACTGTAAGCAGCGGCGGAGCTAGAGGGTTCAATTGAACCCACTCAACTTCGATTTTTTATTTATTTAAATTATATAGTATTTTGTAAATTTTTTTTGAGGTTTTTGTAAATTGGCACCAATAAAACTGTTAAAAAATAAATATGATGGTGTCAAAATAATTTACAAACAAAAAGTTTATAAAAAAAAAATACATTCAAAATGATGTGCCAATGATATTTTAAAAAATGCGAGGTAATGGTGAGTGATTTATAAAAGAAAAATGCTTGGGAGCACTAATTAGTGCTCCCACTAATTAGGTGGCAGTGGGTCCCGTCATGAATGATGTGATGTTTTGGTCTTGGAGTTGTAATTTTTTTTTATTTTTTTTATTTTTTTAATGCATTAGTGCTATTAGTGGTGATGTTTTTAGTGGGATGAATCATTGTTGTTTATAAAATAATCCCCCCCCCCAAAAAAAAAAAAAAAAAAAAAAAAAAAAAGTTACATCATTCTATAAAAATATTTTGTTTATATATCATTATCTTTTTTTAAAAAAGTAAAACTTAGCTAAGAGTTATCCTAATCAGATCCTTCGGATTAATGGTTATGTAGCACCACTTTGTGGTAAGAAGTTACGGATTTCAACTCTTACGAAGAGAAATTTGATTTCGTTTGTGATGTTTATTTATACCCTTGGGAATTGTAGGTAGTTGATTATTTCTTGGGCAAATTACCACAAATCTTTTTTAGAAAGTGTGTATTTTATTTGATCCCAAAACCTTTTAGATAGACCCAAAAGTCCTATACCCATTTATCTTCTCCACTTTCCCTCCCTACACCTTACTTCTTTTCTTTATCTCTCTTTCTCTGATATCGGCGACGACCATAACCACACCTTCTTTCTTTTCTTTCTCTTTCTAATCTACAGTCACCGGCGACCACCATTAATTGGGGTTCATCGGCAACCACTGAGCACCAACTTCTCACTTCGTGCTCACCGATAGCGAAAGAAATGAATTTCTGACGAAAAAGATGAGTAGATCTACTCAAATCTAATGTAAATCTACTTAGATCTACATCAGATCTGAGTATATCTACGTTAGATCCGACTAGCTCTACGCTAAACCAAAAAATAGTCGTCGGAGTACAAGCATCTCTCTATATCTGTCTCTTTTTTTCGATCTCCCATTTTTTTACACACTTCTATTTTATAATGGATAAAATAAATGTTTAAGTTCTGAACAAGTTATTTTCGAGTTTTGGTCAAGCAGTAAAAACTGTAAAATTTTATAGTTTCAGTTTTTTTGATGCTAAAATGAATCATTTTTTAGAATTATAAAATTTTGCAGTTTCATACCTTTCTTTAGAACTGTAAAATTTTACAGTTTCATAGCACGTTTTTCAGTTTGATTAATAAGGATAAATGCATAATAGAATCATACTTTGAGACTACAACATTTTACAGTTTCAAAGTTTACTTTTCAATTTGATCAATATTGGAGATTATTTGTTTAAACCCTACAAAAATTGAAAATAACATATGTTTTTTTCCATTGTTGCTATTTGTTGTTCTCAGGTTTTTTTTCTTCTTTCAATTTATCAATATTTAACACGTTTTGCTATGTTTTTCGCTTTAATTTCTCAATTTATCTCTTTTTCATTCCGCCAATATTCTGGACATTCCGGTGAGTCTCCGGCGATATTCTTGGTGTCCAGCGAATATTCTAGACATTCCGACGACTTTCAGTGATGTTCAGAACATTCGAGTAATACTCCGGCAAATTGCTGATCATATTTCGGCGACTTCCTGATGATGTTGAACGTTCCAGCGAGTCTCCGATAACCATTTAACGGAAGTCCGGCGATTATGGTATGCAACGTCTTTATATTTATTTATTTTTTTGAAAAAAGGATTTTTTGGTAACAATTAAAAATATGTAGGACTAATTAGTGCAAGTGTTTTGTTTTGAGACTAGATGGGTTTTGAACTTTTTGTATGGGACTTATCAGTAAGTTCTTATTTCTTCTCAATTATGGGCTTCGTGTATTGTTAGACGGGTTATGGTTATTGAGCTTAGTATATTGTTGGACTTTAATTTTCTAGTTTGATGTAATACTAGTTTGATGTAATAGTTATCATATTTGTAACTAGTCTCCTACCGATTGACAAATAGACAAAAATAAGTTAAAAATTATCCTTTACTGAGCACGGAATTCTTAAATGTTTACATTTTCTCTCTCTCTCTCTCTCTCTCTCTCTCTCTCTGCTCAATCGATTAAAAATCACAATCCTTACTCAGTCGATATGAAATAATGATATCAATAATAACTAACCAAATCACACCACTAAATTAACTTTCTGACTATGCCACCAACAGTAAATTTAACAAAGTGAGAGACAAAGGACTGGTAGTAGAAAGGGTGAGTGCCAATAGGTCAAGAAAGAAGTGTCTTCGCCAATAGGAAAAATAGAAGTGATGCAGAGTATAAGAAGCTCAAGGACGGCTAAATTCAAAGAATTTATGATATTTAGACAGTGGCATGATTTCAAACAAGAACTGATAAGAATTTTATATAATTATGTTTCTAGTAGTATTGGAGTCTTATTTTATGATTATTTTTATGTTTTCTAGGATTTTTAGATCAGAGCTATTATGGTAATTTTCATATTTAATGTCATGGGTTGTAGGTGTCGCCCATGAGTCGTCTTGTCGATTAAGTTATTTAATTAGCTATTGTTTATGTTTCTTATTTGGTCTTAGATGGATTTTGAAAGTCAAAGTTTTTATTCTAGTTAGTTTAGGAAGTCTCCTAGTTCTATATAAAGTCATTTAATACTTCTTATTTAATAGACTTGATATTTTTAGAGAACTTTTAGAGCTTCGAAGTTTTCTTATGGATTGTGTGATGCAATCAAACCCTAGGTGTAAGGCCTATGGGATTCTAGGAGTAATTCTTATACCTTTCTTCTCTTTTCTTTCCTTCTTAAATTTCAACGCTTTCACAGCCCCAGAACAGCCCCTTACAACGCTGTACTACATCAAGAAGTGCATGTGTTTGTTTGACTGTTACAATAAAATTACCTCCTTAAGGACCCAGAGAGCAAGAAGTTCCATCTACTACATCAAAGCAATCGTAATTTTAAAGGCACCATGTCTGACGAAGATAAATTACATTAAAAGCAAAACTGGAGTGCCCCAAAAATAAAATTTTGATAAATTTTGATACTGGTAGAAGAGCCAGAGAGAACAGGCACACAAAAAACAGTCATCAAATGAGTACCTGGTTTGTTTGATACCTTCACCTTATTATTAGAGAAATGATTTTGTTATAATCACTGCAAATAAAAAGACAACGACGTAAACATACTTCCACAAATTGAGGTAACTTAATAATCCGGAGAGTGATAGGAGGAAAAGATTACATAAAGGTAAGTTTTTAAATGGATAACACAATAAAACAGCACAAGAGGTATAGAAAGAGAAAATGGTCTTCAGACAAAAAGTTACACACCACATACCATTATGTATATAACAAAAGCACTATTAAAAATAAATCCTAAATGAGGAGGCCAAAGAATACCACATACCATTGAACAAGTATCCAAGGGAGAGGCCATAACAGTCCTTGGAGGCTAAGAGGTATTTTCAACCCTGGAGCCCTCAAGTGATTCATTTGTCTCCATGATCACATCCTCGAAGTTCAAATTACCAGAAATCTTTACATGAACAAGTACCACCTTCAAAATGATGAAAGCGGTATGCATCTCGTACTACAATAGCCCGATTCGAGATTTTTGACACATACTTAATCCAATTGTGGCAATCATTACAGACACGAAGATTCTTAATCACACGTATGGGTATTGTATTAGACAAGTTTATGAGTCCAAAAGCGATAGCCAGTTTTTCACTGTGTATGTACCCAGTTGGGTCCTTCTTCCCCTGCTCTATATCATTCAAAAGGCTAGAACGATCCTGTACATAACCAATTGCAGCTGCTCGTTTGTTCAGATCCTCTAAGAACTCATATATCTTATCTGCTAAAGGGTGGAGTCTGTCGCCAACAAAGAATGCATGAATCAAATTCTTAACCTCAATCCAACTACGACCAGGCTCTTTCTTTACACCTCTGTCTTTCATCATTTGTCTCGTCTGATCCTTACAGTCCCATTTCCCTGTAACTGCATACATATTCGACAAGAGAACATAAGTTGCTGAGTCTTCAGGTTCCAGTTCAAGAAGATGACAGGCAGCGAATTCTCCAATTTCCATGTTCTTGTGCACCGTGCAAGCACTTAAGAGGGTCCTCCAGACCATGGCATCTGGTTCAATCGGCATTGCCTTTATAAATTCTCTTGCACGGCACAGAAAGCCAGCCCGCCCAAGAATATCTACAACACAAACATAATGTTCTGGTTTTGGAACAAGACCATGTTCTTTGCTCATGGAATTGAAGTAGCCGAGCCCCTTTTCTACCAATCCCACATGACTACAGGCTGATAAAACACCGACAAATGTGACATGGTTTGGCATCACAGCAAGCCGTTTCATTTCCTCAAAGAGTTCTATCGCATCCCTACCACATCCGTGTTGAGAATAGCCTGTGATCATGGCATTCCAAGAAACTTCATTTTTCTCAGGCATTTCAAGAAACTCTCTCTTGGCATCATCAAGGCTCCCACACTTTGCATACAATGTGATTAAAACATTGGATGCCTCAGTTTCTGTATCATATCCCATTTTTATAATCCTAGCATGAATCTGCTTCCCTTGTTTTATATTTGCTGTATTAGCAGCAGCACTAACTGCAGAACCAAACGTGAACATATTGGGTTCGACTCCAGCTTGATTCATTCGAGAGAATACCTCGAGTGCTTCCTCACAGTGCCCACTCTGCGCAAATCCTGATATCAATCCGTTCCAGGAAATATTATCTTTAGCTTCAATTTTTTCAAATGCTAAGTAAGCATCTTTAATCATACCACATCTAGCATAAAGACAAATGAGTGCATTTCCAATTGAAAGATCCAGCATATAACCAGAGACAATTGATTGAGCATGAATTTGTTGTCCTTGATTGAGTGCTTGGATTCCAGCACATGCACTTATTGCACTTGAAAATCCTATGTTGTCTGATCGGATCCCTTGGTCTTCCATTTCTGCAAAAAGTTTAAAGGCTTCAACAAACAGATCATGCTGGGTGTACCCAGCAATCATAGCTGTCCAAGAGACAACATCTTCCTCTTTGAGTCGTCTGAGAATCTTGTTAGCAGTATCCAATTTTCCATGCTTAGCATACATATCTATAAGCACACTACAAACATATACATTTGGCTGAAAACCAGTCTTTATGACTTGGGTATGGATCTGCTCCCCCAGATCCAAAGCTCCCACGGATGTGCAGGTTCTCAATATACTTGGATAGGTGTATTGATTAGGTCTCAAGCCTTGAATCTGCATCTTCGAGAATATCCGAAATGACTCCCTCAGATCGCCTATCTGCCCGTAAGCCACTAGCATCACGTTCCATAAAACAATGTTTTCCTTCTGCGTTGCAAGGAAGAATTCATGGGCAGTTTCTACATCAGAACATTTTACATAAAGGTCAAGCAGAGAACCTTCAACAATAACATCTGAAGAGATTCCAGCCTTTATCGCATACGAGTGGAGTAGTTGTCCCTTATGAAGAGCCCCTACTGACGCACAAGCACTCACGAGGCTTGCAACAGTAACACAGTCAGGTTTCAAATAATCAAGCTGCATTTTCTCAAATAATTGGAGAGCTCTCTCGCTGAATCCATGCTGAGCAAGCCCTGAGATGAGCGAATTATATGAAACTTCATCCTTGCACTGCATTTTGCTGAAAAGTTGTTCAGCAGATATAAAGTCCTCACAGCGGGAATACAATGTGACGAGTGCATTACACACAAAAGTTTCAGATGCAAATGCCCATTTATTAATAAGGGCATGAAGCTGCTCTCCCAGCTTGAATAACTCTATTTTGGTGCTGGCACTTATAACACTTGAGAAGATATATGGAGTAGGAATTATTCCTGATCTGTGCATCTCATGGAATAAGAGGATTGCTTCTTCTTCATATCCATTTTGAGATAAACCGGATACTATAGCAACCCAAGAAACACTATCCCTCGAAGACAATTTTTCAAAGACAAGTTTAGCAGAATCCACTAACCCACTCTTCGAATACAAATCAATTAAAGGATTACAAACACGGGGACTTGAACCAAAACCAAGATGAATAATCTTAGCATGAATCTGTTCGACATACCAGAAGCTAACTTTATCACCAATGCATGCCCTTAGAACATGTGCAAATGTGATTTCATCTGGGATTACATTTTCTTCTAGCATTCGTGAAAATAGACCCAACACTTGACTGGTCAATTTCATTCCAACAAAACCAGAGATTAATAAATTCCAGGTAGATACACTTGTATCAGACAAATTGTCAAAAAGCTTAACTGCATCATCTAAATCACCAAGAGCAGCATAAACATTGATAAGTCGGCTACTAATTGCATGCTCCCCATTGAAACCAAGCTTCAAGATCCTCCCATGAAGCTTCTGAGCATCTATTAAAGACCCAGAATTGACACATCCTTGTAAGAGCCAGAGGTAAGTCTGATGATTTGCGTGTATTCCACGCTGTTCCATCAAATTAAGAAAATCAAGTCCCTTTATGCACCTGGACAAGTCGATTGCATCTCTTTCATCATGTTCTTCAGCAGGGAATTCATTGAGATATTGAGCAATCGCTGCCTTACTAAAGGAAGCGAAATTCAATCTACGCACACTACCAGATAAGTACTGCAACAAGAATCCACAATTTTATTCATTAATAACAATGATAATGATAGCTTGTTTTGTATATGAAAACAACAATATGGGTTTCATAGAAATAATTAAAGGACTGATTTACCTTTTGAAACTTGAGGGCAATTTTATAGGGGAAGTGACGAAGCAAGGAAACTGAAACAGGGTTTGGAACTATGAATCCTTGTATTCGAGTCACCATCAATGCCTAGTATGGGAGGGAGGAACTGAGAGCTCTATCGTGCATAGCTTGCTCGCTCTGTTTCTTTCTCAGCTAATTGGAATTGCCATTGCCTGCGGAATTAATTGAAACAAGGCAAAGTTTAATAGCATGATGACAATAGCACTATGGAAATGGGAAATTCTCTAAGTTGATGATGGCGTGATTATTGTTGGATAAGGGTGACAAAATAGACCCAACACTTGACTGGTCAATTTCATTCCAACAAAACCAGTAATTAATAAATTGATTTTACCAGATGAGTACTTTAATTGATTTTACCAGATGAGTACTTAAATTGATTTTACCAGATGAGTACACTTGACTGGTCAATTTCATTCCAACAAAACCAGCAATAAAACAAGGATGAATTTCATTTTACCCCCAAAATTTTTAAAAAGAAATCCATTAGAGAGGTGAAAGCCCTTAATTTTAATTTCCACTGTTATCAAACATTCATTTCTATTTTAGCATCAGTTCTCTGCGCTAAACCCAAACCACAAAAATCCCAACTCAAAAATTGAAATCTGAAGCCTAAAGAAAAGAAACCAACAACATTTCTACAAGCATAAAAACTAGAACATGAACTAGTTTAAAATCAGATACTCTCCAATGAAAGCATGGACTTCAAAGAATCTCGTATACAAAAAGCTCAGTATAATAACATGAGACAAGTACCCGGATGAAGTGGGCTTGACTGTGCGATTTCGATGAACAGGACTTCTCTCTCGACAGCATAGTTTCATAATAAAATGAATCTTTATGTTTTCACACTTACCCTTACTTAAAAATAAAATAATATAATTATGTTAAAACGATAGACTAATTATATTTTTTCTAATTCATGCAGTTAACCATTTTGTTGATAAATAAATTATTAAGTCAATTAATAGTTTTTAATGATATGAGAAATATTTTTTAATGAATAATTTTGATAATTTATTATTGCGTAGGAGAATAGTTATTGATTTTTTTCTTCCGATTATTAAGTTAAATAAAAATTTATAACAAACGATAGTTATAATTTGTATTATTATAGCACTAATTCATATTTTAAAAAAACATTATGGGTGTACTTATAATTTGTTAAAAAATAAAAGATTTATGTTTTACAATTGATCAGAATGTTTGCATATTTATGAGAAAACCTTCATTCAAATTATTATACCATCAGTAAATTATACAAAATAAAATGACAAAATAGAAAATTTCCAAACAAGCTAACTGCAAAATAGGCCACCCAAAACAAACATTCCCAACCAAAGCAACCAAAATATCTTACATAATTTCCAAAATACTATCATTCAAATTGTTTCACCAACCAACTAAAGGACAAAATAACAATTTCAAAATAAGCTAAGGGCAAAATAGGAAAAGAAATGACAAGCCATGGGCAAAAAGAGCTTCTTATGTATATATATATATATATATATATTATTTCCCAAACCAAATACTAACACAAACCATCTCCTCATCCCTCTCTCTTTCTCTACATCCTCTTGTGTTTTTTTTTCTCTCTCTCTAGCTCCTTTATCACCGCCGTAGCCTATGGCACCGTCTTCGTCATAGGCCCATCGTTTTCTCCTTTTGATCATCAATGTTGATGGCATCACCGCTATCTGAGAGCTACGAAATGTTCATCCGTTGTTGTTGGTGTGGCCTCCATCTGAAAGCTACTCCAACGAGTGTTGTCTTGTGTCATTGCCGCATTCTGCCTACGAATCATAGTCAAATTCGCGCCTCCTTCCATTCACTGACGGTGTCGTCGTCGTCAATGAGTACCTAACTCTTTCGTTGCTCATATCAATAAGTAGATTTTTAGATTGACAAAAGTCTATTGTTCAGAAAAATATATATAAATTGTTGAGTTCTAAATCTACAATCTATATTTAAATATTAACTTTAAATTGGAATTTTTTATTCTATTTTCTGGGTCAATAAACATGATGTTTGTGATTATGACTAAATCTTCGATTGCAAATATCTTTGTGAATAATGATGTGCGTGATGTACTCAGCACAGTGAGTATGCACTTGTGTGTAAAAATCTTTATATATATATATATATGAGTGTGTGTTTGTGTGTAATGGTAATAGTAAAATTTTAATATATGCTTGTTTCATTTACACTGATAAGAAGCCACAAGCTCTTTATTTCATCACATTGATTTAAACATTAAAAGAGAGAGAGAGAGAGAGAGAGAGAATTTAAACAGTTCACTCTCTCTAAATATATGTATGTATGTATGTATATGGGATTTGTTAAGATATTAGTTTGTTATTTTCAGCTAGCTGAATAATAGTGGTAGACCTATTCTTAAGGGAATAGGTTCATTGTTGACCATTTCTCTAGGAAAATCCCATAAGCTTATGAGCTATTAGTTATGGATTAGTTGTTGCTTATTTTTAGCAAAGTTTGTTTTTTGAATTGTTATTTATTCAGACTTTCAGTTAATGAAGTTTTTTACTTGAGTTATACATACTCTTTTGATTTCTACTTCAGTTTTTCAACACTTGGTATTAGAGCCTTCTAAGAGGGGCTTGAGGTAGAAATAAAGCAGCAGCTCTTCACTTGCAGCAATAAAAATCAATGGCATTTGACAACAATTATGTACAACCTGCAATTCCTCGCTTTGATGATCACTATGACCATTAGAGCGTGTTGATGGAGAATTTTCTGAGATCCAAGGAATATTGGACTATCGTGGAAACTAGTGTTGTTGAACTAGCTAGTGAAATAGTATTGACGGAAGCCCAACAAAAGAGATTAGACGAACTGAAGCTAAAGGATCTCAAGGCAAGGAATTATCTCTTTCAAGCAATTAATCGTGCTATTTTATAGACTATTCTCCAAAAGGACACTTCTAAACAAATATAGGATTCCATGAAAAAAAAATATCAAGTCTCAACAAGGGCGAAACAACAATAACTTCAAGCTCTTTGCAAAGACTTACAGACTCTTCACATGAAAAAGGGAGAGTTAGTTGATAGGTATTTTGCTAGAACGTTGACGATAGCAAATAAGATGCGTATTCATGATGACAACTTGGAAGATGTTGCTGTAATGAAAAGATTTTGTGGTCGATGCCTCCCAAATTCACATATGTGGTCTGCTCAATTGAAGAATCAAAGGACATTGATGTTCTGTCCATTGATGAACTGCAAAGTTCTTTGCTGGTTCATGTGCAGAGAATGGCTACTCCTTCTACGGAAGAACAAGCTTTGAAGGTGTCAACTCACATTGATTCCCTCACAGGGAGAAGGTCAGGCCAAGGTCGTGCAAAAGGCCGAGGACAAGGAAGAGGAAGAGGAAAAGGCACAGATTTCTGAGGTAGAGGCAGAGGATGTGATAATCAATACTCATCCAATTCTAATTATTCAAAATTTGACAAGTCCAATATTGAATGTTGCCGCTATCACAAGTATGGCCATTATAAGTTTGAATGCACTACAAATTTTCATTCAGACAAAGGAGAAAAGTCTAACTTTGTAGAGAAAGAAGAAGAAGAAACATTATTAATGGCTTACCATGACCAGGAAGATTCTCATTCAAACAAGTGGTATTTAGATTTTAGTTGCAGTAATCATATTTGTGGTAACAAATCCTTATTTTCTGATTTAGATGAGTCATTTAAAGATAATCTCAAGCTAGGGAATAATTCAAGAATGACTGCCATGGGAAAAGGTACTATTCAATTGCAAGTCAAAGATCATTTTTTCCAAATTCCTGGTGTTTTCCATGTTCTAGATTTAAAGAGAAATCTTATTAGCATGGGACAGCTGCAAGAAAGAGGTTATACAATCATCATTCAAAAGGGTTGTTGCTTAATTCAACACCCTGAGAAAGGTTTAATAACTTAATATGACAGCTAATCGGTTGTTTTCTCCACCTGTTCAGAATAATGATCAAGCCTGCTTGACAACTAAAGTACAAGATTCTTATGGCACTTACGTTATGGCCATCTTAATTTCAAGAGTTTGCAGACTTTGGAGCAGAAGAACATAGTGACTAGTCTTCCTCAAATATATGCTCCATTAAAAATGTGTGAGGATTGTGTTGTTGGTAAACAACATCGCGTTTCCTTTCCAAAAGGGAAAGCATGGAGAGCTAAGCATCCATTGCAATTGATTCATTTAGACCTCTGTGATCCAATTAATCCAGCCTTAAACAACAACAAAAGGTACTTTATTTCATTTACAGATGACTATAACAGGAAAACTTGGATTTATTTCTTGCAAGCAAAGATTGAAGCTTTTGGTGTATTTAAAAGCTTTAAAACATTAGTTGAGAAAGAGTCAATAAGGGATATTAAAATCTTTTAAACTGATCGCGGTGGCGAATTCTATTCCTATGAATTTGCATCTTTTGTACAATGCATGGAATTTGGAGACAATAAACAACAGCCTACACACCACAATAGAATGGTGTATTAGAGAGAAAGAATTGCACGATCCTGAACATGGTACGAAGTATGTTGGCCATGAACAGAATTCCAAAGAGTTTTTGGCCGGAAGCTATTAATTAGAGTGTATATGTGCTGAACAGAAGTCCTACTTTTGCTATCAAAAACATGACACTGGAAGAAGCTTTGAATGACCACAAACCAGCCGTTGATCATTTCAGAATTTTTAGGTGCATAGCATATGCACATATTCTTGATGTGCAAAGGAAAAGGCTTGGTGACAAAGGGGTGAAATGTGTTTTTCTCGAGGTTAGTGAAGAATCTAAGGCATACAGATTGTATAATCTAGTTACTAAGAAGATAATCATAAGTCATGTTGTCATTTTTTATAAAGAGCATGTATGGGACTGGAATGATGCAGGGCAGCAACAAATTTTAATAAATTTTGATGGTGAAGAAATCAAAAAAGGGACTGATCAGTCTAACCAACAGCAGCAATTACCAAATGAAGTTGTCACGACCCAAACTCGCCCCTATGGGTTTAGCATCGTAACCGGCCAGTAATATGTGATTACCAAAGGCCTGCTTAACAGTAAGGACAGTAATACAGAGTAAAGGGGCTGGCGGAAGCCAATCAGTAAATAAAAGATATCCAATGAGCTGTGAAAACCTGAGTGCAAAACGACTTTATGCACAAATCACATTGATAAACAAAACATATATACATACATTATATACACATGACATCCGGATTAGGGACCAAGTCCCTTCAACATAACTGTACAATCAAGTCTAAAACATTCATTACAAAGAGAGACAGAAAGGTGAAACTGAGACACCCCAAAAATAGCCTTGGCTTGACAGATTTGAAACCTCGAAGTGAGGCACAGTGGTTGGCTTGACAAAACAAAAGCTAATCCGATGCTCCTAGCTCCGGTCCAGTGCCTGGACACCTACATATAGATATAAACAGTGAGCTAAAACCCAGTGAATAACATATGCATAAAGGGGTTAAGAATGAATATCCTTTCAGTAATTAAAACAGTCAATTGTATTAGTAAAACAGTTACTCAATCAGTGGCTCATATTTCATGCCATAACAGTTATTCAGAAACCATAACAGTCATATGTGGTACATCCAATAGCAAAACAGTACAGTAGGTCTTGACAGACCGAACAGTCGGTTGATGGCCATCAAACAGTAAACAGTAGTGGTCCCAACATTGAAACCGACAGAGATCTCTGTAACAGTAGCAGTAACAGTAACAGTAAGTTGCTATGGATGCCACGAATACAGTTTACAAATAGGACAAACATTCATTCAGTAAACGATACTATTTCAAAAAGCAATATATCAATCGTTCAAAAATAGTTATAATTGAACGTATCTTTGTAACATTGTTACTCACAGAGTACTGGGCTACAGGTAGCTAATGAGTATCCTCGGATGCCAACCTTACAGTTGCAGAACGAACACACACTCGGGATTAATAACTTAGCTCCTAACTATATTGGTGTGGTTCTATAACATTATCCTCATTAAGATGCCTTAAACATGGCCTAGGAATACCTAGGATGGAATGAGGATGCAAAAATGTACCTTAAAACACTTTTCAAAATTTTACTGAAACAGGGGTCTCGCTCGAGCGTGGCTTTCTACGCTCGAGCGGACATGCAGACAAAGGAGCTCCGCTCGAGCGTGACTTCCTTCACTCGAGCGGATTGTAAACTCATGAAAAAGTACTGGATGCACGATTTTCACGCTCGACGGACCCTCAACCTCCGCTGGAGCGTGAGACTCAAACCCTCGCTCGAGCGTGAATTCTCTCGCTCGAGCGGACTGCAAAACATATGAACTTCTGGGCATATGCATTTCACGCTTGAATGTGACTTCCTACGCTCGAACGGAAGTGCATGTACTCATATGTTGTACTATGAGTCTTCAAGTGTTTTCCAGAAAATTAACCCAAAAGAATCGAGTTTGAAGCTTTAGAAGTTGAATTTTTTGCTTGAGGATCAATCTGGAAATTCCAAATTTATGAAATCAAGCCCAAAAGTAAGCCAATTGAACATAAAATTAAGTGTAAATACGAAGAATAATGCAAAATCATACATGCATGAGTTTTCAAGAGCTCTAGTGTTCCAAAACAAGATCAAATGCAATGTTGAGCTCAAAGTCATGGTGAATTCATGGACCTCTACCAAAATATGAACATGCATGTAAGAGTTTTCATGAAAACAACCTCAAAATGCAAGAATATGTACATGCATGCATGAATTAGCTCACAATTCAACTCTTCAAATTAATTCTTGACTTTAAGTCCAAATTTCCATGAAACATGCAAGAGATAACTTGAATTCACAATTAAGAAAATGATTTTCCTACCTTAGGCCTTGAATTCTAGGTGTAGGAGCCTAATGTACAATTCTCCTTCAATTCTCTTTCAAATTCTCTTAAGTTCCAAGCCAAACTTGTTGAGTCAACTCTTTTCTTCCAACTCTCACTCTCTCTCACGGTTTTGGTCTCCAAATGGATGAAGATGATGCATCAAAATGATATAAAATCAATTAATGGCCTAAAGTGCCCACTAAATGGCAATTGTGTAAATAAAAGCCAACCAATGTAATACAACTTTTAATTAATCTAGTTTAATCATTCCAAATCGACTTTCAATTAAACCTACCATAAAATCACATAAATTCTAACTAGCATAAAACGCTAACCCATTTCTGAATCGGTAGCCGATAAGGCTTTCAATTCGGAATTCAAAATCAAAACATGGATAGATCATTCAGTAACCAAACAGATAGAAATGCAATTCAAATAACACACTCATGCAATCAGCCCAGAATTTCAGCTTAATCAGTTACTTATCATGCTCAATCATAGATTAGCACTAATCAGAGGTGAGGGTTATCACAAAAGTGCTCTTTAATCCTTCTGCAAGTGGTTCAAATGAAAAACACCTACAAAATGTATTCACTCCACAAGTTCAACGCCAAAGTAAAAGGCCAGCTTGGATGATGGACTATGTAAGCAGTGATGGGTTGTCTAGTAATGATACCATTGCTCAGTTTGCCTTATTTGCAAATTGCGATTCAATTGCTTTCGAAGATGCAATGAAAGACTCAAAATGGTAGAAAGCCATTGATGCAGAAGTAAAGGCTATTGAAAAGAATGATACATGTGAGCTGTCTGATCTTCCACAAGGGCAGAAAACCATCGGTGTGAAGTGGGTTTATAAAACCAAACTAAATAAGAAGTGAGAAGTAGACAAGTACAAAGCTCGATTAGTCACAAAAGGTTACAAGTAGGAGTTTAGGGTTGATTATAAGGAGGTCTTTTGTTCGTGTTGCCAGGCATGATACAATTCGATTGGTAGTATCTTTGGCAGCACAAAACTCGTGGCTTATTTTCCAATTGGAAGTGAAATCTTCCTTTCTTCATAGTGAGCTCCATGAACAAGTATATGTCGATCAGCCTCCTAGTTATGTACAACAAGGTAGTGAGAAGAAGGTGTACAAGTTGAAGAAGGCTTTATATAGACTGAAACAAGCACCTAGAGCTTGATACAGTCTTATAGATGCTTATTTTTCAAAGGAAGGCTTCCAAAAATGTCCATATGAGCCTACTCTTTTCATTAAATCTGGACTCTTAGAGAAACTTCTTATTGTTTGTTTATATGTAGATAATCTAATCTACACAGGGAAAAATTAAGCCATGTTTGAAGATTTTAAACATTCCATGATGGCTAAATTTGATATGACAGATCTAGGTATGATACACTATTTTCATGGTATTGAAATAGTGCAATCTGCAATCGGGATTCTCATTACTCAAAAGAAGAATACTTTGGAGATGCTGGACAGATTTCAAATGATGAATTGCAATCAAGTTGGCATCTCAACTGAACCAGGATTGAAGCTAACTAAGGATCTTGAAGGGAAGAAGGTTGATAACACCTTATTTAAGCAAATTGTTGGAAGTTTGATGTACTTAACAGAAGCCAGGCCAAACATTATGTATTCTGTTAGTCTCATTAGTAGATATATGGAATGTCCAGCAGAGTATCATCTTCTTGCTACAAAAAGGGTGTTACGTTACTTAAAAGGCACATTTGATTTTGGAGTTTTTTATAAGAAAAAAGTAGCTTTAGATCTCATTGGTTTCTGTGATAGTGATTATGCAAGTGATTTAGATGGGAGAAGAATCACTTCTAGCTATGCTTTTATGATGAGTTCGGAAGCTGTATCATGGTCATCAAAGAAACAGCAAGTTGTTACCTTGTCTACAACTAAAGCAGAGTTTGTTGCAGCAGCTTCTTGTGCATGTCAAGCTGTTTGGTTAAAAAAAATCATTGATATGTTACACAAGAAATAGCAGGGGCCTCTACAAATTTACTGTGATAACAGCTCAACAATCAAACTCTCCAAGAATCCAATTTTTCATAGAAGAAGCAAACACATAGATGTGAGGTACCACTTCCTTCATGATCTTGCTAAGGATGGAATCTTTGAAATGATATATTGTCGAAGATCAGATCAGATTGTAGATATGTTTACCAAGCCTCTCAAGTTGGCTACATTTGTGAAGTTGCGTGATTTGCTTGGAGTTTGTTCAGTTTGTTCTTTAAACTGATTGTATGAACATCATTCAATTTAAAAGAGAGTGTTAAGAGTGTTAAGATATTAGTTTGTTATTTTCAGCTAGTTGAATAATAGTGGTAGACCGATTCTTGAGGAAATAGGTTCTTTGTTGATCATTTCTCTACAAAAATCCTATAAGCTTAAAATTTGTTAGTTATGAATTAATTGATGCTTATTTTTAGCAAAGTTTGTTTTTTGAATTGTAATTTATTCAGACTTTCAGTCAATAAAGTTTTGTACTTGAGTTATATATATTCTTTTGACTTCTACTTCAGTTTTTTAACACTTGATTTGAACAGATAGGTTGAGAATATAATGGATATACTTCAGATATATGTTTACGTTTCTAAGTTGTTGTAACAACCCCGACCTCTGACTAACGTTAATCCGTGATTAATTTGTGCCTAATTAGTGATTAAGGTGAAATTCTGAATTGAACTGCATGTGTGTTGCATTGTTTGTCTTTATATCTGTTAGGCGTAGGAAGATCTGTTCATGTTTTAGTTTCGATTTGCGAATTGAAAGCTTTATCGGTGTTCGAATAAAAAATTGACTTGATTTATGTGTTAATTAGGATTTATAGAATTTTATGGTAAGTTTAATTAAAATTCGGTTCGGAGCGATTAAATTCGATTAAAATATTGCCATTTGATTAGTTTTGTTAAACTACTACCTACAAGGCCATTTTGACCCCACTAAGGTTATGTTTTCATTTCACTCTTCCATTTCCTTGATGCCCAACGTGAGGGAGAGAGAGAGTTGGAAGGAAAAATTTGAATTCATCTAGAGATTAGCTTGAAGAGTTAGAGGAATTGAAGGAGAATTGCATGTTTAAGCTCCCACACTTAGAATTCAAGACTTAAGGTAGGAAATTCATTCTTTTAATTGTGGATTTAAGTTGTTCATGCATGAATTCAAATAAATTGAGCTATAAGATGTGAGAATCAAGCTTAAGGAGTAGGGAAGTAGATCAATCCATGCATGCATGCATGTTTCATAGCATTTTGAAGATTGATTTTCAAGAATTCCTTCATGCATGTGTTGAGTTCACTTTAATTTTGAAAACACAATGACTTTCATGCTATTTAGTAGCATTTGATCATGTTTTGGAGGACCTTAGCTCAAAAATGTACATGCATGTTATGTTCATGAATTAATTTTGAGTTTAAAGTTGAGTTTTTGTACAATTGGCAAGCCTTTGGCCCCATTTGTTTTCAGAGGTAGAATGGAGGGGATTTATAGTGAGGGGATTGTTAGTGAAGGGATTAATAGTGAGGGGATTGATAGTGAGGGGATTAATAGTGAGGAATTGTTAAATTATTTTTATATAAAATAATAAAACAAATAAAAAAATATAAAAAAATAAACATTATATTTTAAAAAAAATTCCCAATATATAAAAATAAAAAAATTTCTAATCTCCTCACTATTTTTCTAACACCATCTCTACCTCCTCCTTACCAATCCCCATTCCTCCTCCTTACTAATACCAAAGGATTACTAGTCCCCTCCCTATCTCTCAAAACAAACACCCTATTCTCAATCATCTCCTCACTATCAAACCTAATCCCCTCCCCATAACCTCAAACAAACGGGGCCTTTGAGCCATGATTTCTTGTTATAATTCTTTAAACATGTTGTATTATGAGTTTTCATGTATTTCCTTAAGTTTTGGCCTAGAAAAATGAGTTTTGGATGCTTCAAAAGTTGAGTTTGAGCTTGGTGATCGAATATGGAATTTCCAGAAATTTGATCCACGCTCGAGCGAGGAACTTCACGCTCGAGCGTGCACTCTGAGTACATGCACTTCCGCTCGAGCGTTGAGAGTTACGCTCGAGCGTTGAGAGTTACGCTCGAGCGTGAGATGCATATACCCAGAAGTTCTTGTGTTTTGCAGTTCGCTCGAGTGAGGGATTCTACACTCGAGCGAAGGTCTGAGTGTCACGCTTGAGCGTAGGTCGAGCGTCCGTCGAGCGTGAAAAACATGCAACCGGTACTTTCTCAAGAGTTTATAGTCAGCTTGAGCGGGAAAAGTCACGCTCGAGCGGAGCTTCATTGTCTGCATGTCCGCTCGAGCGTGGACCTTATTTTCAACAAGTTTTAAGAAATGCTTTCCAGTGCATTCTTGCATCCTCATTCCATCCTAGGCATTCCTAGGCCATGTTTAAGACTCCATAATGAGAATTGAAGGTTAGAAACACATTAAGAGCAAACGACATAAGTTATGTACAATTCGAACTTGTGTTTCAAGTGTGTATCTGTTATGTGCCATGTAGGTCACGTGCCGCGTACCGTTTGACCAATCTGCTCCGTCTGGCTGTCTCAAGGCCAACTGTGAGTAATGACATAGTAAAGCTATGTTCAACCTTATTTATTTTCCGTGTGATGAAATAAGAATTGTTTTCTGAAATGTTATGTTTTGTACAATGAATGATTGTCCAATTTCTGATATGTATTCGTGGCATCCTTAGTATCATGTGATATGTGTTGGCCGTTACCCGGTATCGGAGGTTCCATCATGGAACTTAATCTGTCTACACTCTGTTGCCCGTACCAGAGGCTCCATCATGGGGCTCAACGTGTTTATTCTCTGTTACCCGGATTCGGAGGTTCCTTTATGGAACTAGTTATTCGTAACCCTCACGTGTCTGCATCTGTTCTGTATCTACTCTATTAGCGCTTATGGACGTATCACGTATACTTGCGCATGACTTATGATTTCTGTATATGATCTGGACAAATTATGAATTTGATACGAAACTGAATTATGAATTATGAATCTATACGGACTCATTCATTGAAACCCCTTTACTCTGTTATTGTTCACTGAGCTTTCACTCACAGTTTATATTATGTATGTAGGTGAGCCGGCGCGTGATCAGGGCCAGAGTTGATGGCCTTCATTTCTGTTTTTGTCATTCAACCGTTATGCCTCCTGAGGAGGTTCCAATTAAAGTCTAGTTACATGGCTATTTTTGTACTTATGTCAGTCTCTTTCTGTTTTGTACAGTTGGGTCTTAGATATTACACTTTTGTAAATGTTTTGTAATTATGATATGCTATGACTGACACGCTCACGTATATACAAGTTTCGAAATATTCTGTCCCATGTTTATTGACGCAGCTCATTGGACTATCTATGTTTTGTACATGTGCTTTCGCCACCCCTTATTATATGCTTATTTGAGAAAAGGCCTTTGGTAATCCACGGATTACTGGCCGGTCACGATGCTAAACCTACAGGGGCGGGTTTGGGTCGTAACAGAGTGGTATCAAAATACGTGTTCTACCGCACACACAGGTCCATATGAGCTTAGGATGTCCTAGTAAGAGTTAGAGGCATTCCATCTACATGTGTGAGTGTGTGGTAATCCAAATGAATATAAAAACTGAATGTAAATTTGAGCAAATGAATTGAAAGAAAAGAATAAGATTATGTCTATGTTTATTATCATTTGATGTCTCTATAGTAACATGGAGAATACAAGGGGAAGTGATGTAAATGAATCTTTAGAGGCTCGCATGAGCCGAATGGAACAAATGCTTGCAGCATTGACTGAAACTTTGACACAACAGCAAAGACAACAACCCTTGCCCCTTCCACCTCTGTCGGCACAAGCCGAAGTAGATAATCATCAACTTGACACAGAAATTCATGAAAATGAAACCGCCGACGTTCTATGGTGGAATTGAACCGTTGAAAGCAGAGACGTGGTTGCCTGAAATGGAGAAGCTATATGAAGTGTTTCCTTGTTCTGAAGTCCAGAAAGTCCTCCTAGCCACCTATACTCTGAAAGATGAAGCCCGAAAGTGGTGGTTACTGATTCGAAGTGGCAATGGGAATATGACATGGGCACGGTTTAATGTGATCTTCTATGATAAATATTTTCCCCAATGTTTCAGGGATCGGAAAGTGTCTGAGTTTCAAGAACTTAAACAGGGAAGGATGTTTGTAGCTGAGTATGAAGCCAAATTCATCGAACTGGCACGGTTTGCTCCACATATGGTGGATACTGATTACAAAAAAACACGAAAATTTGAAGGTGGACTGGATTTGGAGGTGTTTGATCAAGTAGGCATATTGAAATTGCCTACTTATGTGGAAGTTTTAGATAGATCCATAATGGCGGAAGCCACACTAGCCGCTATGAAACACAGTAAGGCCCCAGCAGCTATACAAACGGATTGGAAAGGAAAGAGGTCTGGGTATGGTTTTAGAAGAGGCCGGTCTCATGTCAGTAAGAAGCAGAACACGGGGTCTACAAGCAGCTCGAGTCAGAGTAGTGGGTCTATCCCGGTCTGTTCTGACTGTGGTAGAAGCCATAGGGGTGTGTGCTACCGAGTATCCAGTGCTTGTTTCCGATGTGGCCAAACAGGTCATGTAGTGAAAGATTACCCACTCAGGTCTGAGAATACTAGCCGTCCTACAGCAAGTTCAGTTGGATCCACCTCTATGGCCAAAACAAATACAAAAGCCAATACTGGGAAAGAACATCTAAGACAAGGTCGAGTGTTTGCCTTAGTACCCGGTGACGTACAAAACACCTATACTGTGGTGTCAGGTACACTCTCTGTATGTTCTCAAAATGCATGTGTACTGATAGATTCTGGTTCTATACATTCCTTTGTATCCCATGCTTTCTCTCGGAAATTGACTAGACCATTAGAACTTATGACATATGTGTTATCTGTATCTACGCTATCTGGGGGTTCTATGATGTGTGCTCATGTTTA